ATCTTGTTAGGAGCCCGGTAGGCGGAGTCCTCTTATACCCTGTGCTAAATGACTAAGCCACAGAAAAAGCAATATAAACTGCGTACACTTCAACAACCATCTACCCTTGCCATTTTGTATTGGCTTTCTTCTTATCATCCTTGCTCTCCCTCTTAAGGGCTTTCTTGAGAGCCTTCTTATCACGTTGCTCTTGAACACGCCTGGCAGCCTGTTTATATTAGTTAGGGCGTGGATGAATGAATAAGGGTGAAAGATCTGACGTACTCGATTGTTGGTACATACTTAGTAGAGAGGGTCAACGATCCTTTGATCCCGGTATAAAACGTGTCGGACTATGTTTCCGTGTTGCTGTTGCTGATATGGGTATACTAGATGGTTTTGAGTTGGTTTTGAGGACGTAAGTGTCCGGTAAGGTGGATAGGAAGGGGCTCGGAGGTCCTGATTTAATTTTAGGGGGTGGGAACTGTAGTTAGGTAGGGGTTTTATACCTATTAGCTGTATATTCTTTTTGGAGATGCGTCTTCCGGTTTCCAGAGCTTTGGAGGTGGTGAAGGGGATGGAAGGAATTTGTTTGATTATTTTCTGGGAACGTCTAGGATGTATAAAGAGGAACAAAGCGTAGTAACAAAGGGATTGTGTTTGCTTTTGTAGGTCCCCGGTCCTGCGATGATGCTGGAGATGTCGGGAATGCTCTCTTAAGCTCCTTCATTAAAAGCCTGCTGGTAGACTTAATTGGTCTGGCTTTGGATCAGCGTCTCTACCCTCTGTAGTAGAGGCTTCTAGCTTTGGTCTTGCTGAATCCGTCGGAAAGTAATTCACTAATGGACCCAGAGAGATTTATGGCGGCTGTGATCCCGTCATTCAAACTGATGATGGTCTTGGTACTGGCTGACACGGTGAATTTGATAGTGGTTGTGCTTATGGGTTTTGTGTTTACCGATCCGATGGGTCTGGGCTTGACCATGGATGATATTCTGGCTAAAATCGCCGATCTTGGGAATGGTCCCGGGGTTATTGATTGAGGGAGGATTCGGCTAGGATGTCGCTGCTTAGAGGATAATGTAGGGCGGACGAGGTATCTCGGGATGATATGTGGTCGAGAGATAATTGTGTCTTCCGTCTTATACCGATCTTCACGCGCTCTCGTTCCGTGCCTAGAATAAATCTTTCTACTCCGTATAGTAAACATCTACGTTTAACTATATACTTGCGCAGTTCCGGACTGGGAACTAAATCTTTAGTCCTAACCCGCAGCTTTTTTATACACCTAAGTTTGCGTTCTTTATCCTGGGAACGCCCCGAACCCAGGTCGGGGTAGGTACAAAGCAGTTACTCTACGGTATTCTATTCCATAAGCCGGTCAAGCTAAATAAAGGAATACATTTAAAAGGGTCTTTGCCGCTAAAGCCTGCCACCCTGGCCCGACAAACCTCCAAGAGACAACAAGATAGAGACTTAAATATTAATTATGCAAATTCCTTAATCTTGAAATACTTAGGCGAGCAAAGAAGTACAGCAGATCGGGAACTCCTAAACTAACAGTTCTCCAGAGGCATCAGACGCAGACCTAGTTATACAAGTGCCTTCAGCATAAAACCTATCTAAGTCGCCGTTGTCAATGAGCAGTAAGTTCAAGGTGGAAACACTGAATTATTGGACTTGCAAAGAACGAAAAAATGATACTTGCCTTCACGAGTAAAACTCCTTCCGAACACAGCCCTGTCTCCAACCACCAACCACCACTAACACCCCACACAACAACCGCTAAATCACCAGCGCAGCCCAACCAACCTCTCACACGACCTCGCCCACCGCACCAATCGAGCCGTCCCGACCAGCGCAGCAGCGCATCAGCGCGCGCGCTTGCGCGTAGCGCCGACCTTATTTCAGCCTCCAGCTGCCGCTGGTGCTGCCGCAAGAAACCCCGGCGCCCGCCAGGCCGCGCTGGTGGCGCTGCGTCGCGCCGGCCCAAGGGGCGCGTCTCGTGGTTTCGTGACCGGGGTGAGCGAGTGAGCGAGTGAGAGATTTGTCCGCGAGCGGCGCCTCGCTCGCTGGAAGAAGGGATTTCTTGTGGATGGCGCTCCTGCGCTCCTGCTGGTGACGCAACGGCGAACGAGGGCGATGGTTTGGTGGCTAGCTAGGTGCTGGCTGGCTGCCCGGTTGGATGATGCGAGCGCGATGCGGCGTCGTGGGCTGCTGGTGTGGGGCGTTTCAGTTTTTGCGACCGTTGCCTACCGACTAGCGTGGAAGGGAGGGGGACGTTTCGAGGAGATTGCGCTGCGTCCTCGTTCCAAGAGACATTTACGGATTACGGATAGTACCCGCGGGTTGGCGCATTGCGTATTGACGAGGCTGGTTCGTAGCTCCTGGCGTCAACACAGCCAACGCTTTTTGCGGACAGCCTGACGCTCACCGGACATGTCGTTACGGTCGCTCGTACTCGAGCAGGCACACGGACAGGTAAGCACGCAAGCACACAAGCCGAGTCTCAATACTACACACCCACCGCTCATCCACTTGCCAAAGGCGTCATATCATCATCGCAAGAGCATCTCCTCCGCCCAGCATCCGGGTCGCGACGAAGTAACCAACCCGCTACCCGGCGACCCCCAAGACCCCAAAGACCCAACCCTTCTTCCCCGGCTCTCACAACCAACAGAACAGAGCTCATCTCATATCACCCCAGCACAGCCCAGCGGCATGCTCAGCCGTGTGTACGTTGGCCTCAGGCCGCGGGGCACGTAGGGCGGGAGCGGGAGTGAGAGATAGATGGAGCTTCTGCGCCTTTGGTGTGCTGCCCGCTGGTACGCGACAGTAGCGAGATGGAAGGTGAAAGAGCGTCTTCTTCGAGGAGAGCTGTGCTTGGTTCTGTTGCTTTTACCGTTGATGTTGCTATTACTATTACTATCACATGGCAGTCCTCCGCCGCGCTGAACCACCGAGACTCGCCGCTACGCAGTATGTTTGGCGTAGTAGGTGAGGAGAAACACCGCATGTATTCAAGAATTTGCGGCGGAGTATCGTGCGTGAACCGGCGAATCCATCTTAAGCAGGATGGAGTTCGTCCTCATCTCTATGCCCTATCGTATCACTATCCGCTTCCTGCTCGGCGTTCGCCTGTGCCCCAGGCCTAGTGTCCGTCGCCACGCCGTTTGCTTCAAGTCCTCCGCTCGTTCGAGGCTCTGTGTCTATGCCAGTTCCCGTCGCGGAACCCGCCGCTGTCGCCGCAGGCACACGAAGCACCTTCCTGTCAAACCACTCACGGTACTCCGTCGTCGCCCATTTGCCAAGGTATTGAAGCGTCGCAATAATCTGATAGACGCCGAGCTTGCTGCACGAGTCGCCGAACTGGATGGGGCCCCATATCGTCTGTTGAAAATCAGTGTGAGCTCTGCATGACGAAACGCGATAGGTACTCACCGTCTGCTCGCCCTGTCCACGCCTGCGCTCCGCCATGAGGAAATGCCAATTCCGGCCCTGGATAACCAGCAGCGGCAGCGCAGGAAGCGGTTCCACGGCGTCGCCGTCCTTCTCCCCTGCCTCCAGCAGCTCCTGCAACCGCTTGAACTGCGCGGCGACCCAGATGCCGACCTGCAGTTCCGCGGGGCGCCACTTCTCCCCGGTAACCTTTGTCTCCAAGCTTATAGCAACGGGTGCGCGCTTGAAGGGCGTGTAAAGCGTCTGGTTGATCGAAAAGTCGATGTTCCCGGCCGCGAGCGCGCGCATGACATCCAGCTCCTGCGCATCCGTCTGCAGCACCACCGCAAAGTCGACCTGGCATGACTTCTGGCTGCCATATGCTGGGAGCAGGCGCTTCTCAATCCGGGCTGCACTGCAGTTGTGGAAGTCGATGGCGTTATCGAACGTCGTGTTTTCGAAGGCGGCAGTCAAGATGGCGGTATGCAGATGGCAGTTCCACTCGGCTTCGCAGTGGTCGCGGGTGGCTTTGGTGCGGTGCACGATGCGGTTGATTGTATACTGGGAGGGGACTGGGCCAAAGCGGTCGCGCGAGTTGTCGGTGTCGAAGGCGAGGTACCCGTCGTCGTCGTCTTGGAGGAGAGGAGAGGAGGCCTGTAAATTATCTAGTCAGCTTGATCTATTACAAGGCCGCAGAGCGAACTGACCATAAGCCGGGCTGGTAGGACACCAATACCGCGGCTGAAGCGCTTGATTTGCTTGAACATGGCTGACAAGCTCGCCGGGATGTCATCCGGATCATAGTCCTTGGCTACAATGGGCTCGGCGGCAAAGAAAGTGTCGCCAAGCTGCTTAACGGACCTCCCCGAGCCTACCGAGATGCTCTCTGCAGTATCTGTCGACGTTGTTGTGGATTTGGTGCTCTTGTTGCTTCTGCTCCGACCGGCGCGCGGCGTTGTGTCGAGACTCTCTTCTTGGTCGTCCTCTGCCTCGTTCTGATCGCCCGTTCGGCGACGCTTCGCATTGGACTGGCCGCCGGCCATGGTGCTGAGCGTGCGCTTTCTCTTCGGCGATAGCGGCGGTGACGGCAACGGCAGCGATGGCGGCAAGCTCTCAAGCCACGCGACGATCGGAAACGACGCGGGCTCGTTGTCGTCGGCGCAGGAGTCGAGGTGGTTGAGGGATCGCAAGAGCGAGGGCGGCGGTGTGTGGAGTGGCATGGTGAAGCAGAGCAGGCATGACGGGATCTGGGGTGGTTGGGTTGCATTAGGCAGGCTTGCGAAAGGGCGCTGAGGTTGTGTTACATACCAGCCCGAGTCATGATGAGCTTGAGCTCCCCGCACTCCCTGACTCGCACCTCGGTCCACCTCGACCATCGCGATAACACCGCCTCCCCCTCCTTCGCACTTCGCAACCCACAATCCACCATGCCCACCGAGCCCGCGCCAAGCAATCCCAGATCACGCCGCCACCTCTCTGCCTTCCTGCTGGCTGTCTGCATGCGCCATGCCGCCGTCGCGCGAATCCAACACGAAGTTTGACGAGGCCACGGTGCTGACTTCCATTGATGCCTTCCACGACAATCCCAACCCCAACCGAACGTGCTCCAGCCTGGTCTTCTCAACCATACATCAGACACCTTCCCCATCCTTAATGGACAGGAGCTGCAGCTTAAAATGCTTCACTCCGGAGTCTCGCCTTCGCTATTCGGCGCGCAGAGACACTCGTCCCAGCGATGTCGACTTTAATGCTCGTGCTATTGCGAACCTTTGGTAGTTAGGCGATGCGCATCTCGTTTGCAGAGGCTAGAGGCACATTGTGACCAACGGCCGCGCGGCCAGCCAGCCAGCCAGCCAACGCAGGCAAGGGCCTGACTGAAAAAGCGAGGGCCGCTCCCGCGGTGTTGCAACGTCAACAATAGCAGGTAGGAGGCTGAGCTTGATGGACGACGTGGTCGTGGGGATGGAACGCCCTTGCGCCCTCCGCCGGGAGCTGTTGGCTGACGTCTGGAGTTGCGAGTGCAGGATCGTGGGGGTGTGGCGTGGGGGAGCTTGGACCAGCAACACCAGAATTTTCTATCGCGACGTCATGCCGTGCCTGCCGACGCCCCGCTAAGATTTTAACGCCCCGCTCTGCTCTTTTGCTTCCAGCTTCCTGTCAGGCAGCTATGTGGCTTTGAGAGATGTTCGCACGGGAATGCTGACACACTTTCGCGCATAATCGGAGGCGGGCGGTTCACCAGCTTGAGCGTGGGCTTGAACGGCCTGGATGTCCTGGCGGTACGTGCCACTCTCCGCGACGATGGGGATCACACGAATGCGAGATTAGCCGAGCTGCTTTTCCAGAAAGATTATCCTTTGAGATCCAGCTCCGTCCAATTGCGAAGATGTTGGTGAAGACATCCCTCGGCATCGGGAACGATGACACCGGCCCCTGTCCAGAACCCCCACATTCAGCTTCACGACTGTTAAAAATGACCTTTCGTCGCATGTCAGCTTGCAGAGTCATCGCCATCCCCGAGACTGGGATTCCAAGAAGACGTAACGGGCTGCCTTTTTTTCGATCACAGGAGCCCAAGATGAGAAGCGAGCCAGTGGTGGTTGAAGAAAAGACGAGACTCTTGCGAGAAGATGCCTGAATCTTCCTGCATGCGCTTGACCATGTTCTTTGTCCGAGCTGATCAGCTGAGAACCGATTAAACATTCCATCGGGACGGATATCTTGGCGATGCGGCAGAAGACTCAACTCTTAAGCGCGGCAAGCGCGGCAAGCGATATGTATATCTCATGCGGAGAGAAAAGCTGGTCCTATTGGTCTCAGAAGCGGATGCGGGATGCCGACAGCACCACTACCCGGCTAAAAAGTCGACATCTTTTGTTTCCAATTGGTCCATGTGCGGCAGGTTAGATGCCTTTATGCATTAACATTAACCGAAAATGCCAAACCTGTCAGCATATCCACGGTCCACATTGCCGCCCTCTTGGAATGACAAGCTTTGCACTGGGATTGACTGATAACCCGCGGGTTCTGCAGCGGTAATTCTGGTCAGCAGGCGCCGTTGTGGCTGGCAACGGCTACACCAACCCGCGATCAGTTCGGAAAGTCCTGCAGTATCCTCGCATCAACTTCCGTTCACAGCCACTTACAAATCCGTTCGGATGCATCGACGATCTGCCGCGCTCGTAGTATTCTTCATGCTCGAGTTTTGTACAAAAGACCAAAGCTCAGAATTATCATTATTGTAAATCTTGAAGCTCATTGGAAGAAGAGTCTACCGAAGAAGTCTGGGCTTCCACGGAATCCTTCTTCTGCCAAATACTCCCTTCCATACCCCCAGGCACCTTGACAACCAAAAAACTTAGCAAAAAGCCAAGTGCGCAAAGTACCACGCAGCTGTAATACACGCTCTGATATCCCACAACGCCGAGCGTCCCAGATGGCAAGCTGTTGTCACCATACCTCTTCTCCATGCCTTCGGAAATGGCTGTGAGGACCGCAAGGCCAAGAACAGAACCTCCAACTTGGAGTGCCACGTTGAAAACACCTGCTGCGGCTCCTTGGTCTTTCTTGGAAGCGGAAGAGACAACCACGTAGTTGGCAGTGTTGTACACGGCGACCATGCCCGCGATATAAAGGATCATTCCGGGGAAGGTGAAGCGCCAGTATGAGGTATCTTTGTCTACAAAGGCGAACAGAAGCGAACCCAGTATCGAAAGGCCCCAGCCCAAGATAAACTATCACGCACAAACTGTTAACATTTCGTTGTAGAGCACGGGGAAAGAAGAACACACCATGGCTCTGGCACCGAGAAATGGCACTAGGTAGCCTGAAAGGGTATTGAAAATCAAAGCGCTAATACCTTGCGGTAAGAAGAGAACTGAGGTATGGATCGCACTGTTTCCGTAGGACTGAAGTTGCACTGTCAAAAAATATGTGCAGGCTTGACGTACGGCGTAAATGTTCACTGCCAAAATTAGGGTCATGTTGAAAGAGAGGCTCCGGAACAAGTGCGGAGGAAGGATAGCTTGCGGTGCGGAGCGTTCGTGGAAGACGAAGATAGCGAGTAGTACAACGGACACAATGAGCGTAGCGATGATTTGGGCCGAACCCCATCCGTCTGTATTCGCAGAAGTGAGCGCGTATGTAAGTAACAGGATTCCAGGGACTCCGAGGGATATTCCAATGGTGTCAAAGCGAACCAGCCGCTCCCGTAAAGAGATCAAGAACTCCTTCTTGGGCGGAACCTCAGTGGCAGTGTCCACTTCGGCAGAAGGAGGAGGAGTGGCTGATTGAGGTAGACGGGCATGAGGAAGAATGAGGTACGCCAGCGGTAGCAGAATCGCAGACAGGATCAAAGAAATCCAGAATATCCAACGCCAGGTGAGAAGAGCCGTCAACACGCCACCGAGGATAAGGCCAATACTGTAACCATATCAGCGCTAAGCATTTGGCAGATGATCGAGTCTCTTACATGAATCCCAAAGAACCTGCTGCACCCCAGATTCCGACGGCCTTTGCTTTCTGGGCAGGCTGGGGGAAGCACAAAGCAATATGTGCTTGAGCTGGTGGGATGGTAGATGCCGCACCGATACCTTGGAAAGCCCTGGCCACGATAAGGCTAATGAACGTCGGTGCAAGGGCGCAGACCAATGTAAACACGGCAAAAAAAGTCATGCCAAAAAGCAGGACTTTGCGATGGCTGCGTGGCAAGTCAGAGCCGGCCATGCAACAGTATTCGCATGAATCACTTACCCGAACATGTCTCCAGCTCGACCACCAAGGAGCAAGAAGCCGCCAAATGTCAGGGCATACGCCGATATTGCCCATTGGAGATTGCCCACTTCGACATCAAAGTTTTTCTGAACTGTAGGAAGAGCAATTGTGATGGCGCTTAGGTTGGCTAGGTCAAGGACCATGGCCGAACATCTGCAGCGGAGACACACTGGTAAGCCGATGTTATGTGTTTTTAGCAGTAGGCCTTACACAATTGCTAGAATGTAGTATGGGCTTTGGCCCGCTATACGGTTGGACAAGGATTCGAGCTGGGGAAACATGAAGACCGTAGGTGAAAGCGCAGACAATAGATGATTGGAAGAAGTTTGTTCAAGAACACAAAATAATCGCGTGAATCAACCGCCGTCGCAAACGTATTGTTGAACTGCATGATTCACAGTAGGGTTGGGTTTTTGGTTTTTGATATATTAGATATTCGTCAAAATACTAGCTTGATCCGGCTTCCAAACCGTGAACGGATGATCAACTACAAGGAATAGAAACGGAGACGGGAAGTGTAAATCCGGATAAATGAAATCGACAGCGTTCTAGACGAGAACGAGGTTGATGTTGCGGCGTGTGGGGGTGCATTTGGTGGGGTGCAATATCCGCAATCTCGGGAGATCGGCAGCGGCGTACCCCCACGCAGGGGACTACAGTGAAGATTACTGGTGCGACGCCCCTCCACTTCGCCGCAACGCCTTTACAGAGCGACGTGCATAAATGGCTCCCGCTCCCGAAGATCCTTGGGTTTTAGCGCGCTTCCTGGGAGATCAGATCCTCGAAAGGTCAGGTCAAGTCGCCTGGCAAGCAGGCTTTATCCAGTCAAAATGGTATGAGATCTATCCAAGGCGTCTCGCGCGCTTAAATGGATCTCCCAGTCAATATTAACATGCATCTCGTATGGTTTTGATCATGAACCATAAGAACCGTGCCGCAAAGCAACCCGATGCGATTGCTCTTTCTGCCCAACGCGGGATGGTGATGGCGTACGAGGACTTGGCTCGCAAGAGTAACCTAATTGCGCACTACCCCACAGCCAAGGTGAAAGACCGGTGGCCCATTTCTACCTCATCTTTTGCGCGTGTTCAATACCTGCATGACTCCCTGAATCCTTGGCTGCTACCTTGTCTTAGCCAAGCCGCTACTATCCAACCAAAAAAACGAGCGATCTCAGAGCAGCTTGGAAAAGATCTCTTCGTCAACGAATCAGAAAAAGGTGTCTGTCACTGGGCTCAGGCATTGCCACCTGCGAATTTCAGGTCACTGAAACAGAGCTCTCCTAGAAGCCACTGTTTTTGCTTTGCAACTTTTGCATTCGCTGCTTCTATACATGAATGAACTGTTTCGGTGCGATAAAGAGCGATACCATGCTTTCTACGCCTTCGGTAACTGCTTATTAGTGATTATCTTGCGTTCTTCTACGACCAACATCAACCCCGTCGCATCGCAGCCTGGCCTGCTCGCGAAGTAGAGGTGTCGTGCCGCGTTGGGCGAAAATCATCCACTACGTGCATGGAAGGACAGGTAAGTGCCGAACGATACTGTTGCTGCTATGGTGGTAAAGTCACCGAAAACGACTGAGTGGGATGGCGGCTGAATGGGTTGGAAATGACATGTCTTCTGTCATCGATGCTGTCATAGGGACAGTGTTTTGAAGCTGATGGCGCTTTGGACAACGTGGGACTTGCTGTCCCGTCAGGCAGCGGGAAGGCAATGCCATGCGCTAACGTAGTGAGGGATGCGGGATTTATTCCTGTGGCTGATCAGCTAATTTTAGTGAGATTTATGAGCGTCGGACGGCATTAGAGGACGCCTCGGGGCCCAAGTTGCTGTCGAAGGCACTAATAGACTTGAGTCATCAAGGTGCAGGGAGCTTCGTGTACGTCAGAAGTAACCAAGAGGGCTTCGTTAACTCTAATGCGGCTGGCGATCACCCGGTCAGCTAGGACAAAGCGGCGTTGGCAGCCAGTGTCGCCATTACCAGTAGGGAGTTTAGAGAAGGTAAGTTCGGCTTGTGGCTTTAATAGATTACCAGTAATTCAGGCTATAGCAACACGGCACTCAGCCTATACCGGTCAGTCTACTTAGCATAGGCCAAATTTACAGTGATATCCATCATGCAGATAGACATCCTCTCAAAAATCAGGCCAGACATGCGTTTTCTTCACCCTCAAGAAGTCAACAATCCAGCTATTTAAGCGTAATACCAAAGTCATTATCCCGAGGCCTACGAAGGAGCACAAGAGCTCTAAAGTCTTAGCCTAGCCCCCTAAATTTTACAAGTAGTTTCCGCAGGATTATATCACTACAGCTTCCGAGAACGAAGGACTTGAACAACAAGTTATTCTTTAGTAATCCAGCTATATCATCATCTATCCTCGTCCTCCATGCCTTACAGGCATCTTAGAGCCTTGCTGCGCAACAGCGGGGACTATACCTGTGTCCCAAGCTTTTTAGCAAGACGACATAATAAAGAAACATAAAACGAACAATACCAAAGCAAACAACCATCCATGAGTTCAAACAAAGAAAAAAACTCAAAGCCGAAGACGCAAAAGAGAGTATTATACTAACATTACGAATGGAATTCAAGTAAAGGTAAGACTTAGTTAGTGCTTTTAAAGTCCATACGTTCGTCCAGTTTAGACGGTAGGGACAAACTAGATAAACAAGAGCCTAACTACAGAATCTTTCCAGCAGCGATACGCGATAGTAGCAAACATAAAACAACTAAAACTCCCATTACAAACCCAAGAGTAAATACCGGGAGAAGTAGAGAGGGAGAGAACGAACCTATTACAAAAACTACACGAAGCGTCCTAACTTGTGCAGTATAAACCCAATAGCAGAAGCCCGCCAATAGCCATTAGAGATAGTAATAGACAGGAGGAAAATAGATAAATCTAGCATAAAGATGTACCGACGAGATGCATCAAGGGAAGTAATACAAAACAACTAATATACACGTTAAATCTAAAAAAGCGGAAGGGATTAAACTAAAAGACTATAAAGAAGAAAAGCTAGAGAGCTCTTCGGCTTCCATCTCGTTAATTTTATCCGTCTCATCCTTACGCTTAGTATCGTCCTCATCAGCGTCTTCGTCCTCAACCTCTTATTCGTCGGAGTACAACGTATCACGTAGGGTATACTTTAACCGCCGGGTCGCGCCGGCGCGGAGGAATTAATCTACGCCTTTATCCTAATCACTATCGCGAAGATAGTACAGATACAATATCTATATATGTCTTAAGAGACCGAAAGCCGATATATAGCATAGTATTTTCTACGGCTAGGATAGAGTCGGCTGCCTAGACGTATTAGAGAGTTGCGTGGCCGCTGCGAGAGATGCGCCGGGTTACGCGCCGGCGGGGAAATGTTGGATCCTTTCGAATAATAAATCCACCTGCGTACTACTTAATCATGTCAGCACCGCAGGTCGTTGCTTGTGTTTCTTGCACGTCTATCCCTTGGAAGAGCTTTGTTCTGGCGCTCTTGGGATTGATGGTTTGGCCCGTGACAGACATGCACTGATTAGTGATCGCTCCGTCAAACACTACGTCCTCACGTCCTCTACGGGTAAATAGATTGCATCTGAAGAGACAAACTCTGTCGTGAGTTTGCAGATTCATTGGTACTACAAACATTCCTCTTCTCTCACAGAGTCTAAGCTCTTTGCTTCTGATCGTCTATTCGTTCTGTCGTCTCTTTCCTCCGCTCTTTCCTCCGGCCGTACGCAGTGAAGACGTCGAAGAATAACAAGTTACGGAGGAGAACAGGAAATTCTAAAAGGGCCCGTTCTTACTGAGACCATACGCGGTGAACGTACAACAGGCAAGCAACCAAAAAGGCGGGATGCGGTACAGCGCCATGCGATGCATGATAGGCGTTGATCGCGTCGAGCCACACGACTTTTCTGTCTGGTCAACATTCGCAAAATGGAGGAACATACCTGTGCCTGGAAGCAGGCCGTCAAGCACTGCTGCAATGCCCGGAACACTCGATTCATGACGTCGAGGCTGAGGCCAAGGCGATGGATGCTTCGCAGCGAGCTGCTGGGCGGCCGAGCGACAAAGCTTAGGCGATCAAATGAGCGAGCCGACCGAAAAAACACGGGCATACAAGCTCAAAGCTCGCCGTCGACGGACGAGCTGGTGGAGACTAGTCCGCCCACAGCCGCCGGCCTGACCTGATCGGCAAATCCATCGCACCCACCCCGACCGCATCAGCAAGACCGACAATTCGTGGGCGACGAGACCCAGATGGACGGCGCAAGCCACAGACCAGAGGTCAGAGACGAACAGTCAGAGACTGAAGGCCAGAGAGACAGCAGCCAGCAGAGCCGGCAGGCTTCACAGCACCTCCGCATCACCTCCGCGCGACGCCCGCGCGAAGCCTCCATGAGCCAGCAGAGCCAGCCACAAGATCACGGTGCGATTATTTCCCCCCTTTCCTTATAGACCTATAGCCATGCCGTGTATTGTCGAGCGAGCGTGCGTGCGACGTGCGGGGAGCGATGCAGGGCGCCGGAGGAGAAACGTGAACGGGGGTACGCCAGGCGGAGCGAAGGGTCGACGGAATCGAGTGAGGAAATCCGTCATCGGCGCGTGATAATGCCGAAAGCTGCGACGAGCCTGTGCGGAGGAGTCGGCAAAGCTCCCGTCGCGAGCTCTGGCTGTCGGGGGCGTCGCTGGCGATCGCGTTCCCGCCTCGAGTCAATGTGTGTCGCCGCAATGCCATTGGATGTCGTCGGGGCGAGGACGCCCTGCTGCTGCGGCTGCTGCGGTGATGAAGATGTTTCTGCGGGGTCGTGCCGTAGAGTGGGTGCTTGGTCGGAGGAGTTGTCGTGTCTAGGTCGCTTGTTCCAGGAACTCTGCCCTTCGCTTCCATTCTGATTCTCTAAGATTTCTGGGCCTGCTCTTCGGGCCCCTGGCTATAAGGATGGAACGCTCTGCGGGCAGAGTGGATGGCTTATCAATCGTCCGACGTCTGGGGCTTTTGCGGCATCCTTTCGAGGCCCACGTACGATGTCCAAGTGTACAGCTGAAGAGTGCGATCGGTGTAGTGCCTGAAGAAACTGCGCATAATACTGTTGCCAAGCATAAATCATTCCTTTGCGGCGCGCCGTGGCGAGCTACCTAACAACTACGGGCAGCATCCAAACCGACCTAAACCTCAACAAACTCCCAAAGCGCCTCATCCGGCTCCCCATTCTCAATCATCGCCAGCTTTCGCGTCTCATTCTCCACCTTCATTCCCACGGGCCGCAAAATCAGCTTGAACCAATACCAGCTCTGAATAAACAAGACGCTTCCCCGCGGCGTCCTCGCGCACACGCGGAACATTTCCCACTCTTTGTGCCACGTCGCGAAGCAGCTGAGGTTCCAGTCGCCGTCGCGCCCGAGGAACCGCCCCGACACGCCGTTACGGAAGCCCAGCCAGCCGCCTTCGTCCTCGCAGACCCAGTGCGATGCGCGCCCGTCGGGCTGCGCTAGCACGATGTTCCCGTCTTTTAATGTGATGACTTCTCCGCTTGCGAGCGACCGGATCATGTACGTGTGGCCGGGGAGCGGTGTCGGAGTGCTTTTAGTAGTGTATTTGTCGTCGTCGTAGAAGCCGCCGGCAACGCTTTCCGGGGGTGTTGCTGGCGTGAAGATGGTCGAGTCGTCGGCTTCTGTGAACGACATAATGCGCTGTGATTCGCTGCGTGTGCAGTGTCAGTTTGCATCTTGTGGAGCCATAATAGTGCGAATACAAAGCATACCGAACGAAAATGATATGGAGGGAACGAGCTGCTGCGCACTGCAACTACAGACTGAGTAGGGTAGGGTATAAATATCGCTGAGGAGATGTCTTCGAGGAATTTGAGAAAATTGGCCGGCATGCAGCAGGGGTTAATTAAGTTAGCGTGTATCTAGCTATGTTGCATAGCCAACAGGGTACCCTCTTGTGGTTATATTTAGCCACACCCTCGATCTTCAAAGTTCCCACCCCACAGATGTTGCACACAACAACAGCCAAGTTCACCATCAACACTTATTTCTTTTTTTTTTTTCTGTTACAAGTTGATGACAAGTAGAAGTGGAGGAGATCGAGAGCTTACCATGTAGCGTAGCAGCAGGAATATGTTGCAGATATCTCTTAAGTTATAAAGTCTGCTTTAATTACAATCCGCTTTGTTTTGGTTCACTACTCTTTCTGTTGGATTGAATGGTTGAAACTGTGCGAGTGAAGAGAGAACGCGGCTTGATTTT